TGCTCCCCCCGCGGCCGCGGCCTGGGCCTCTCCACCGAGCTGCGGCGCTGGGGAGGGGGGCAAGGAGGGGCAAAGGGAGAGCTCGGCATCGCGCAAAAATACTATTTATTAGGGTGGCAGGAGCGAGAACCGCAGGTTTCGAGAGCAAAGCCAGCCCCGGCTGCTCGGGCGCAGCGCAGGGCCGCGGCCTCAGCTCCCCTTGGTCGCTGCTTCGTGAAAGAGCTGCCCCAGGGCAGTCATGGCAGAAACATTTATGACAGCAGAGGGCAAGGCTGGGCCGTTCAGTGCGCGGCGTGAACGGGACACCGAAAAAGCAACTAGGCAGGGAGCTGCTCGGCTCTAGGGTTTCTTCCCCTCCCCAAAAGGTTAACAATAAAAGCAGGATGGTTTGACATCCCTCGGCACAGGGGCAGACATGCGCAGGCAGGGACTCCGTGCAGGGGACGGGGAAACTCGTGGGCCCTCGTGCAACCCTGGAGTTGTCAGAACAGAATTAAAACTCCTGGAAGCAGGTTCAGCTGTTTCCACTGTCCGTAAAAAGCAAGGCAGGAGCGTCCCTTCCAGAGGATTGCTGCCACCGACAACCTGCCGTCTACTGAAACCCCAGAGGGGGTTCACTACAAAAGCCGCTGTGGTCACGAGGGCCGAAAGCCTCCAAAAGCCGCCAGTTGGGGGGCTTATGTCAACACACAGCCACGGCAGTCAGAAAGGGTCACTACCAAAGCTGGCTTTGCCCTTTTTACGCTTGGTTTTGGCAGATGGCGTGGTGAAGTCAAGCGATTCAAGGCGGAAAGGACGTGGCTGGGGCAGCTCTAGAGCCGGTGCCGGAGAGCCTGAGGCTGCACTGGAGGTGCTGTTGTTCACAGGGACATTCAGGCCAGAGGCAGGATTAAGATGAGCTAGAAAGGAAAGGAACAGGCTGTCGTTACCTGTCTAATCTGTTCAGATAGAGAGATGCTTTTCCACGTTCCCTGCTCCATTCAGACTTTAGTCGTGATGCTTAATAAAGAGCAGAAATGCCCATATTTAATTTCCACGTGTTAATGAACACTAAACTCTCGGTCAGCCGCCAACTCTGCCATGCTGCCACCTGACTGCTGAACAGCGTGCTGCCTCGTGCCCGCTTCGGTGGCTCAATCCTCACGTTTTGGGAAGAACACCACGACCTTCTCAGCACACCGCTACCCTCATTTAGTTTGTTTAAACACTGATAAGTGCTTTGTTTCGTTCTGGCTTTCTGTTTATTCTCTGTAATTGAAGTGCTCAGATGCCACAGGGACAGGCACCACTGAGAGCAGTAGCAACAGTTATTTATTCACAGCAACGTCCTCCATGTTGCGTATCAACGTGTGTCAAGGTGGGTTCTCGAGGGCAAGACGAGTGTCTCTGTACCCCAGGCAGGTTCTGACCTTCTCACTGAAGCTGCCACGCAAAACGCAATTAGTAGCAGAGTGGATTTTGTTCTGCAATGAGCTGGTCTTGAGGACAAACATGGACACAGAAAATCCATGCCACTCAACCCTGCTATTTTCTAAGGGCTGCTTTTTGTCATAGATATCTAGGGGAGACCATAGCCAGTAACCAGAGGAGGAACTATTTTAAATGTCTTGCTAATCAACAACATTTATTCTGTGGCCTGGTGCAGCAAAGTTCTGGAGTTCTACAGAATATAAATTTTTAATTAAAAAAAATAAAAACCCAGCCTCATTCTGCAGGATATTCCTGTGAAGTTCAAGGGAGCTGTGTGCACCAACGACTCCGTTTTCAGATGTTCATATTTAAGTATTCCTAATCCAAGTTTTTCCACATCCATCAAGGGTACTTGTCACTGAGGACCACATCTATAGCAAACTGATGCAGAATGACACACAGGCTAAGGATACTGCTCCCCAAAATTCAGCAGCCCAGGAAATTTACTCCTGAAAAATTAAGATGAACAGCAACAATATATCGGACCAAAGACCACAAAGACCCCTTTACCTCTGTTCTTCATCGGGTCAGCATTAAGAATCTGACTGGCTCGCTTGGACCGGAAGTAGTTGCTGGCAATGTTCTCGCTATCGCTCCTGTTCAACATCACCTTGTAGCGGTCTTCTTCTTGCTGGAATCAGAAAACATCATCATCAACACCGTACCCTGCACTAGCTCTTAGCAGACAAGTATCTCAGATTAAGGCCTAGAAATACTGCCAAAGTACCGAAACATGAGATACAAACAAGTTCTTGGATACAGTGACAAAAATAAATCTATATAGGAGGGGCATGGCCTATCCTGGTTTGGAGCAGATAGCTACTGAAGTCCTATCCAGCAGCTGCAAGCTATGCCAAGCTGTGGTGATAAAAGCAACTCCATTACACAGGAAAGGCCAGGAAAAGAATCACCCCAAATCAGGCTCTTGTTTGAGAAGAACTAAAAGTAGATGGGCTCCCTGGGAAGCGAATGCAGCTCTCACAGAGGGCAACTGATGTCCCAGCCTACTAGGGCCATGCTAGTGCTCTGCCCACTCACAGGCAGGTTGGTCTTTCTACTGCCATGCTGGACCTGAACCACCAGCACACTCAGCTCGAGCTAAATAAGCCTCTGTATTCCTTTGGCCACCAAACCATGCCGCTAGTTCTGTGCTTCCCCATTTACTCTGCTTTACACATGTCTTCAAGGGTCCTTTGCTGTAATTCTGCTGGCCAACACCGACTATGTGTGAACTGCCTGGGCATTTCACACTTTGCCCACAGCAGCCAGACTAAACAGCTGTGTAGCACGCTGACTTCTCAGCAGGATTTTTCAGGACCCCAGGAGGAAGAGAAATATAATTTACCATTAGTAATTCTCCACTCTCAGCTGAAGGGCTCTTTCTGGCAGGTTTTGCCTGTGGCAGTGATGAAACTGCTATGAGAAAACACAAACATTAAAGGGCCATCATCTCTAAAGCGATTACACTCTCAAGATTGTGCTCCTTGATCCCCACCAGTGCTCAAAATCACTGTCTACTGGGCTTACAGAGACACATCAAGAACCCTTACTGTGATTCGTATCCAATGACTGGTATAGGATATGCATCAGCTAAAGCAGTAACATGTGAGTTCACCAACTCTTGGACGGAAGTCTTACAGGGAAGGCAACACACCTCTCGGACTAAGGCACCTCATAAGGGGGTGGGAATCACATGAAGAGCACAAGGACCCTGAATTCTAATTCTCAGTTAACAAAATGTCACTGTGAAACTTCAGGAAAGCCACCTAGCTGAAATCAAGATGTTTCCTTGCCTTAGTTGCTCAAGCTTTGAAACAAGTCTTACAGCAGCACACTTACAAGGGCTGCTGGGCTTGCTCATTAACATCCTAAAGTGCTTTAAGATCCTAGGATGAACAGCTTTTAAAGGGCATCATATTTATTTTAAGCACTAGCTGCTAATTCACAGAAGGCACGCAGATGCCTGCAATACTGAACATACATGGCTTAGCAGGGAAACTGGTGCCTGCCTGCTCTGCAATTTTTATCATACGTTGTGTAGACCCACAAAGAGAAAGCTTTGTCCTCATTAAACTAGGTTATTATTCAGACTTTCTAGAAAGATTCCAGCCTATGCTGTACATACAAGATTTTACAAGTGAGCACAATCCAGAAGTGATAAACAGCATGTTGACATGCTGATGAGCTGGGAAAAAGCCATGTGATGGCAGTAGAGTCAAGGCGCTTCTCTTACCTGCAGGAAGGCTGGTTTTTTGAATGACGAGCTCTGGAATTTTCCAGCAGCCAGCCTCCTCATCCCAGACGCACTCGCGCTTGATCTTATCCAGATTGCTGTAGTTACAGTCACGCCGGATGAGGGACTGCACCCGATCTAGCAGCTGTTGGAAGAGCATCAAGTCTCGCTCCAGCCGGCGGATGGTGCCAAGGTAATCAATCTTTTCTAGCTCAAACTCTGACTGCAAATCTTTGATCTCCGTCTCAGCAGCCCGCAGCTGTGTCATGAAAACAAAATGGCTAGTTGGGATTACAATGGAGAGAGAACCACTGATGACTATGAGCATGGAAATTTGTCAGGCAGAGAGATGGAAATCATTCAGTTTACTCTAAAGACAAATAAGAAAGAGATGTGATAGAAGTTTAAGAAATAATGAACTGCTTGAGAAAGTGGACCATCACCTTTTACTTTCACTGTCCCATTACGCAAGAATGAGGAGGCACTGATAGAAAAGTATGGTGGAAAAACTCAAAAATGCTACAAGGAGATACATTATTCTATTATGTGAATTTAGAATCAACTGAAGTCAGCAACTTAACAAAGTTCAAAAGATTATAAGGTTAATGAGAGCACATACAGCTACTTCTTACTTTTTAAAAAACAGAAGCTTCAATGTTTTAGAAGATTTCTAATTTCTAATTAAAAATTGGGA